TAATAATAATAATAATAATAATAATAATGAAACTGCAGAGCTTCAAGAGACCATATAGATCATTGAGTCCAGCTCCTGTCAAAGAGGCACAGTGGGGAATTGAACTCCCAAGATACCTAAACCACTGAGCTGTCCAGCAGAAGAGGATTTGTCCTGGCAGAAAAGGTGTCTGTCAATTCCATATGTATAGTCATCACATCTCTGAGTTAAAACTGGTCTGTTAATTTCACTGATGCAGAGCTTCAAGAGACCATATAGATCATTGAGTCCAGCTCCTGTCAAAGAGGCACAGTGGGGAATTGAACTCCCAAGATACCTAAACCACTGAGCTGTCCAGCAGAAGAGGATTTGTCCTGGCAGAAAAGGTGTCTGTCAATTCCATATGTATAGTCATCACATCTCTGAGTTAAAACTGGTCTGTTAATTTCACTGATGTCATGTAGTGGCATAGCAGAATCTTAAACCCAGACTCAGATAGGAATTCTTAATCCAAAGATTAAGATGCTGGCCTCCAACATTTAAAGATTGTTTTCAACATTCCCTTCTCAGAATTTCTTGAATGCTTTTCTACTCTGGCTTGTTTGTTTGTTTGTTTGAATAATATCAGCGGTGACATCTAAACCAGGGATTTTGAAACATTCTTCCCTCAGGCTTCCCTGGAGTGACCTGAATATGACTGGGGCCACCAATCAAAATGGAGTGTGGGACAGAGCTATTAGATACCAAATAGTGCCACATGGAGGCAGAACTTGGAATTATCTGCCGGCAATACTAACATAATTTTGCTATATCTAATCCCTGTTTGCAAATTGCTGAATCCTTTACCTCAATGATTTCTTTGTAGCAGGGAGTTCCATAATTCAGCTTTCCTCGAGTGAAATACTAATGTTGATTCTGGACGTGCGATAACTCAGCCTCACAATTTTGAGGAAATTTGGGCACCTAGAAGCTCCAGTGGGTAACAACCTATTTCATATTGCCCTCCTACTGTCACCACCGTGCCTTTCCTTTCTTCTCCTCTTCTCTTTTCTTACTTACTTTACATGTATTCCCTTCTACTCTACCAATTTCTTCCCCACTATTAGCGGTGCCAGGTATGCTGCAGGCAATGGAACCATTTTATTGGATCCACTTCACAAACCGTTAACTTTGCTTTCAAGTTATAAATGTTCCCTCAATTTCTTTCACATTGTAAGCTTCTTTTTTTTCCTTCCCTCTCATTGATCCATTGAGACCAGGCATTTAGATATTTACTTGAAACATCTTTACCTTGCTGAAAAAGCTCCTGGAGCGGCTTAAAAACTTCAATAATGAGACAAACTCTCATGCCTACAGTCTAAAAGACACAACACACTAAGAAAGGGGATTTGAAGGTGTAGGAATATTTGCTAACTGTATTGAGGCTTGTGCGAATTTGTAGCTATTAAAATCAAGCAACAACTCTATATACTCATTATTAGGTAAAAACAGAACATTATAGTTTATCTTTTGTTGGTCTAAAATTGATTAGAGAAGCCTCAAAAACTGCCTTCTTCATGTGCAAGTCTGCTCAATCATTATAAGAAGCCGTATGAGTCAGCTCCCACTCCTGCTAGGAGTAGGAAGAACCAGAAAGTAACAGAGGTGGGGAGAGAGAGAGAGAGAGAGAGAGAGAGAGAGAGAGAAAGGATGGAATTCACCCATGCAGTTTTCTATTTTGATCTGGAAAACAATGTAGTTCCTATGTAGTTGCCGGTTCCCTTACTAATAGCATTAATCAATAACCAAGGTATAAATATAGTGTTTTAGAATTAAAAAGGGAGCTTCTTTGTGTGTGGTGAGCCCATCAGGATGAAACTCGGATCATGAGCAGAGTCTTGACTGCAGTACAGTGGTGCCCCGCATAGCGACGTTAATCCGTTCCGGATTAATCATCGCTATGCAGAAACATCGCTAAACGGAATGGAAAAAGCCATAGGAACGCGTTAAACTTTGTTTAGTGCGTTCCTATGGCTCCCAAACTCACCGTTCAGCAAAGTTCCTCCATAGCGCCGCCATTTTCGCGCCCTAGGTAAGCGAGGGCAGGGCGCGAAAACACTTGCG